TATATATATATATATATATATATATATATATATATATATATATATAAAATCTTCTCCTCTGTCTTCATCTTCTTTTGGAGTGTAGCCTTGGCATACTGTATAGAGAATCCTGGGTGGTCTTTCAGCCAACAGGAGTCGCACACCAATTGGCAGGTCAACTTTCTGAAAGAAGAGCTTCTCATGGCTGATTTAATCCATACAGAAGTAATGATCGCTAGTGATACCAGGTGTTGAATTTGGCACCTCTACAAAGAAAGCAGGAGCTCTCCTACTGAATTACCGTTCCTTCACCCCCACTTCATTTGTCGGTGGAATGCACTTTATCAACGTTGTCAACATTATCCCGAGTTCTTGGTTTCACCTAAAGGGAAACCAGGTGGCAGCAGGTTGCAAAGAACCCCCAACACACCTTGGACATGTCAAAGAATCGCTCTATACATTCTTGTACAATAGCCTGTACATTCTTGGTTTTCCTACCAGTGACAGCCAAGATTCCAGCCAAAGAGTCAACATCCCAAGTAGCCCAGAAATCCAGCTTCTATGGCAGCTCTATTAGTGGTTAAAGACCCTGAACTAGCCCGGGTTTGATAATCAGATCCTGCTTGATGGGGTGAGCTCCCATTACTTGGCCCAGTTCCTGCCAACCTAGCAGTTCGAAAGCATGAAAATGTGAGTAGATAGGTAGGATCCCGTAGATGGAGAACTGTTTCTATCAAAGGGCTGACTTTCATGTGTGTGAGACAAGGATGGCTGATGCCTTGCTTTGGCCCCTGTGGCTTTGTAAATAAGGCTTATAGTAGTAGATAGATCTAGAATAGCAGAATAATAATAGAATAGTAATCGGAAGAGTAGAACAAAGGAGCAATTTCCTGACAGTAAGAAAAATTAATCAATGGAACAGGTTGCCTCTGTAAATTGTGGGTGCTCCACAGTGGTGGGATTCAAATAATTTAACAACCGGTTCTCTGCCCTAATGAATGGCTGGGTGGGCATGGCTCAGTGGTCATGTGACTGGGTGGGCATGGCCAACTTAAGGTCACTCACGTCAATGGGCGCTTCGCCTTAGCTGTTACAATGTAATAAGGGTTAACCGGAGAGGCAATTTATGTAAGCAGGGCAATAAAGATTAGGCTAGAAACACCAGAATAGTTTCCTTCCTGCTTTCCTTACAGGATTAGCCCTGTAAAGTGGGGAAAAAAACAAAAGGAGATTTCTTCCAACAACCGGTTCTCTGAACTGCTTAAAAAGTTAACAACNAAGATTTCTTCCAACAACCAGTTCTCTGAACCTCTTAGAAAGTTAAGAACCGGTTCTCCCGAATAGGTGCGAACTGGCTGAATCCCACCACTGTTCTGGTCCCTGCAGAGTTGTGAAGTTTGCAACGATGGTAGTCACTCTGCACACAATGGGCAAAAGCTCGAGGGCCAACTACTCCCCAAATATTTTGGAATACAGCCAGGAGACGAATCCTTCTGACTCACCATTCGATTTCAGGACGAAGATGGAAGCTGGGAAGCTGTTGGAGAAGTCGCTGTAAGTGATTTCGTACTTGTCATAGTGAGATCCCAGCAAGTTGTTGTAACCCTTCATCTCGTAATGCACCGGGGTGACTCCACAGCTGGCGTTTGTCACCCACATCGTATAGATATTCTTCTTCTTTCCCCAGTCGGTTATGCTCTGCCACACGGCGGTGTATACGCCTTTGTAGTATTCTTCTCTTACAAACTGGAGGAACAACAGAGAGAAGCCTTTGAAAGAGGCACACGGGAAACTGCATTATACAAAAAAAAAGGAGAACATTTGTAGCTCAAGGTTGAAATGAGGGGTCCTTGGTGCTCTCTGAGCTTGGTTGTTTTCTTGCAGAAGTTTCATTACCCGGTTACATAATTTCATCCATGCTATCATCACTAGCACTGATGATGTTACTTAGTTAGGGTAATGAAATGTCTGCAAGGAAACAACCAAGTTCAGAGAGCACCAAGGACCGCTCAATCTTCCTCCTCCCCCCCCTCCTCCTCCTCCTCCTCCTCCTCCCCCTTCTTCTTCTCCTCCTCCTCCTCCAACTGCATTCCCTTCTCGTACTGAAGGATCCTCTCAAACTGTATTGTTCCAGGTCATGTTTTTCGATTGGGATTGCATACTGCACTGTTGTGGCCCAGCAGGTGCCGTTGGAGCTGCCACCAGACACCGACAGCGAGGGGCCCTCTGAGTCGGCTCTGGAGGACCCTGGACAGGGTTCCGACTCCGAGCAGGGCGCAAAGAGGCTGGTTGGCCACCAGGAGACACCTGAGCCTTGGACCAGTGGGGAGGAGACAAGGGAGAGTGAGCCGGAAGCCAGTAGTGAGTTTTTCCAGAGGGAAAGTCATCTGTGTACCAAGTTTGGTTGAAATTGCTTGTAGCGTTCCAGAGTTATGCTGGAACACACACACACACACACACACACACACACACACACAATATATATATATATATATATATATATATATATATATATA